GATGACTGGAATAAAAAAAAGTCTCTCATTTTAACTCAAATTATCAATTTGAGAAAATCTAGAGTTGCTTAAAAGAAAAAAAAAAAAAAAAAAAATTTCAATGGAAATCAATAATCTGTCGACAAAAAAAAAAACATGTGCCCAAAATAACCACTTGTCGATTTTATGGCCTGCGTTTACTGAAAAATTGACAATATATAGAATTTTAAAAATAAGAGCAAATTTTGTTTTAATTGATTATTGTAAAAACTCGGAAACCAGCAATTAAAACCAAAATGTTATATAGCCTAGCCAACAAAAAGGCCCGGTAAGGAAAGCGTGGGCGGCAGAAATGGGACCGCAAAGTCTGGAATGGTACTTTTTAAAACCATCGCCGTAGTTGCAATGTGCCGTGTTATTACCAACATTTTTTTTTTTTTTTTTAATCAAAATGAAACGACATATAAATGAAAAGTGCGTGGGTCGGTAGTGTTGTGGTTTAAACTAGTTACTAGAGACTGCGTAGGTGTTTGCCAGTTTATAAGAATCGTTATTACCGATACAAATGAAAGTTGTTTTACTTTTAATTATCAATGATAAAAAGTTTTAGCTCAAAAGTTAAGTTAATCTAAGAAGCAATTTCTGTGTGAGTGTCAGCAAATGACTAATGAATTGGTGTCTTTCGGCAAAATAAGAACTTAAAAATAAAATACAGGAACCGTAGACTTGACGCAGGCTAAGCAGTTATCAATGAGATTGTATTTTTTATACAAGAGAGAGGGGAAGAAGTGCAATTTTTATTTTATTTTTCTAATTTTCCAGGTTGAGATTTCATTTCGTGTTAAGGAAAAACAGATTAGCCGACTAAGATTTACTTTTCCCAACCTGAAACCGAAACAGTAATATTTTGTGCTCGTTGAAATGAAAATAAAGACGAGAAATCGCCACAGGTGTCATGGGTTTTCCTACTCAAGTCCCGTAAAAGAAAGAGCAAGAAAAGCAGATGCAATGAGTTAAAAATAATTCAATGAATGAACAGATTTAACAAAGAACTAAGCCTGGAGCAGCAAGAAAATCAAAATCAAAAAGCGAACGTATGTGTGATTGGGCGAAGCCGCAAAGTGAATTATTGGAATAACTTACAAAATGAAATTAAAAAAGCGGCAATGAATGTAGACTCTACATTGTAGAGGTCAAGGACAATTTTATTTTACTATCATTTAAAAAACGTAATGCAATCCCAAGAAGAGAGATGTTTTTTTCTCGTTTATTTAGTAATATTATTGCAGTGATTATGTGAATTTATTCACTTTTTAATTCAACAAAAAAAAAAAAAAAAAAAAAAAAAAAAAAAAAGATTTCCTCCTAAACGAGCAACAAGAGGAAAAAAAAGAAGTGAAACTGATTTTTTTTAACATTATTTGGTAAATGTTCTTTTATTTTTTTTTAGTTTCCGAATAAAAAAAGGATTTTCGAGTTAACATGAATTTATTTAGTACATTTATTGATGTGACTGATATTGAACACAGTAGTTAACCGTGTTGGAATAATGAGAATTTGGTGCATTGCACGATGAGAATGCAAGTGAAAGACATGCACTTAATTTAAAAAGCACTTAATGATTAGAAAAGCACGTCACAATTTTCGTATCAATTTCGCAACGACAGAAATTGCTTTTTTTAAAAATTTATACACAATTTTTTAAGTCTTTGGTTTACTCTGACACTTTTGAAGGTATTTTTTTTGTCACTATTCATTTTATTTCCTTTGTAAGGCTAAAGCCGAAAGTGACATGTGTTCACGAACGAAATAAGAGCGTTTTTTTTACTATTTTGTGGCGGTAAAAAGAAAACTAATGATAAAACACGAATTATACACAATAAACAAACCCAAGAGATAGAAGAAAAAGATGTAAGATTATTTTTTTTTTAATCTAATCGAAATTTACAAATGATCATACAAAGAAAGTTGAAGTAAAAATAATAAAAATAACCAGGTATATACACGTACTCGTTAAATCTTTTTGTTGCGCAATCATTTTTCAAAGGGGCCAAGGTAAAGAAACATTTTAAGCCTGTTTTTTTTTCAGTAAAAATTGAAAATGAATTATGAATTTTTACGTGTTCCTCGAGGAGAATCGTCATTTAACTTACTGACAAAAAATTATTTGCCAAAATAAGTATTTGAGACTAGTTTTGAATTAAAAAAACAAAACAAAAACAAAGCAATTTTTTTCGTGTATGCGTTATTAAAATAGTTTCTTTAAAAACATTTTTGCGTTTTGTCACATGAACACAAACAGCCACTTAACATCAGTAATCCATTTCGATTTTTTAAGAATTATAATTAACGAATATTTCTCAAATCTTGACCTGAAAATTTCCAAAAAAAAATAAAAAAAACAAACTATCTAACCTTGTGAATAAAAGATTTCTGCTATAAAATAAACTGTTTGTCTATAAAATGAACAAAAGTATTATAAAGCTTGATTTCTTTTCCAGAAGAGTCATTCTTGAAAAATAACCCATAAACTAACATAAACAGAAAAAAGTTCAGCGTAGACTCTAGAAATGACGTTTTCATAAGAAAACGTGTTGGAAGGCAGCAACAGGAAAATTTAATAAAAAACATGTTTCGTAATAAGTCTCCACTAAACAAACAAACAAACAAAAAAAAAAAGAAAATCCAATCCAACCGAGGTGAAAACAAACACTAATTCCTGCTGCTGCATTTTTTAAATCAAATTTTTTGCAAGTCGTCAAGATTTTGTTTTTAAAGACTGGACATCTTTTTCATGCCTTTTTTTTTTTTAAAAAAAGAAAAGTTTCCTTTTTCCTTAGGTTTGCACGCACAGGAAATAATTAATTATATTTATTTATTAGTAGTCTTAAATTAAAGAAAGTTTGTTAATGTAGATCGCAATTTGGCAAACCGAAAATGCTTACGTTGACGAACATTTAAATAAAACACATTGTTGTTCTAAAAATTAACTAAGAGAATAGAAAAATAAATGCTACATGTATGAATATGATGTATGTATGTATATATAATTAAAGTAAAATAAAAAGATAAATTTTATTACTTTTTTAATTGATTATTTTTAATTGAAATAAGGTTCCAGAGCTAAATTGTAGTTAAAAATCAAATTCAAATATAATACAAAAAAACTCATGATTTTTTTTTTGTCCAGGTGTAATGTTGCCCATTTTCATCTTGACAAAATTTATTAAAAACTTTCAAAAGGATTGTAATTTAAAAAAAGAAAAAAAATGTAGTATAAAATTAACTTTTAAAAAGATAAGAATGAACAACTTATGCAGCGAAACAAGCTGTCGGCCCATCACGAAAAAAAAAAAAAAAAAAAAATAGGCGAATAAAAGTGTAACCCTTCCAACGGTATGGATGGACTTGGTTCTAGCCTAAAGCATTATAAATTACTAATGTACTCCCTCCCACGTAAAATTGGAACGGACTTTGTAGAAGGCTCTCTACAAAATAAAGCATTTTTTGTGATTAATCCAAAATTAATATTTATTTGCACTTATCAAGGAAATCGAAGAAATATTTTTAAAGATCCGTCGATAGTCGGTTACTTCTCTTAAAAAGTTTAATAAAACAATTCCCAGGTTAGCTTATTTAACAATAACTGAACGAACATCGCCAGCATTTAAAAACCTAAAAGAAAAACACATTTTTCTCCTATTTCATATTGCGGCTAATACTTTTATTAAGAAAAGTTCTGGAAACGTTAGTAGTTAATTTCAATTTGAAAACTATAAAAAAATAGTAATCAAATTGATAAACCTATAAAAATACTTATTATCCTACCTAAGTGAGTAATTTTTTTTTTTTTTAGTTTTTACGATTTTTTAATTTAAGAAAAGTTAAAATTAAAAAAAGAACCTTTCTCAAACTTATGATAGATTGATGCATAGTTTGAATTGGATACTAGAATAAAAATAATAAAAAAAAGTGAGTTTTCACATTTTTCACTTAACAAAAAAGAATAAAATTTAAAATTATATGGAATACAGAAAACTTGTTTTTTAAGACTAAAGAATAGAATAGGGATGAAACGAAGTTAGAAAGGAGGGCAACGTTAACAAGTTTTAAAAAAAGCTTATTTCATTATTAATTTTCTGAAAGAAACGATACGTAAACTTTTTTGTTCTCTACCCCCCCTCTACTTACTTGATGTTCTTCAGGGGCCATGAACACATGGCAATGGTAATCACTGTTTAGCTGCGGTCGTGTTAGGTAAGCAAAACACCTGGGTTCTTGATGCAATTTGGCGAACCTCGACACTCCATGAAGTTTGTGTTCAAACAATATCACCTGCCTCCCTTGCAGAGGTGCAGTACTATCTCCATGTCCAGTCCCACCTGACAAACAAACGTTGTGTCCTGGTGCGATATGGTCAGGGTAAAATTCCCCTTCATCGTTAGAGACGATGGTCCCACGTAGACTGACGTCTCGCACTTCTAGTTTGATCTCTCGGAAACCTTCTGTTTTTTTACGTTTGACTTCAGCCATCACCCAGGGCATCACAAAATGAGGAGATGAATACCTTTTATCGATATCGGTAGAGCCGAGGTAGAGAACTTCGAAAATCTTTCTGTGATTACCATTATTTGTGCTATTATCAGAAGAAGCAATATTTGCATTAACGCACAAGTTACTTGACGCAACAGACGACATCGTCATATTTGCCGTGTTTTCTGTTGTGTCTTTCTGGGAATTATCTCTACGAAGAAGTGTATTTTTATTGCTACGATTTTCGCTAAACGTGTTTTCATTTGGGTACCTCTGTTGTTCATCGTCTGCCGCGGAAGAGGATGATGTTGTTGAGGTCTCCTGTAGGGTAGTTTCTTCTGGTGATGAATTTAAATTGTCCGGGTACATTACGTCTTCTGTAAGGCCAGCAAAACCACCTACTTTTTCTTCTGAAGTCATGATTATTACAATATAAACAATAGTATGCAAAATAAAGAGCTACAGTAACAATTCGAGCGAATAAAAAAATGTTACCTCTCCCTAGTCGACAGAGATTTCATTCGTGCTGTCTGTGTGATAGCACTTGCTTAGCTTTCTTTCACGGTTTACTCTCCCTCCCTCATACACATTCTCTCTATTTCTCTTTAATACCCCCCTCTCTAATATCTCTACTTCTCCCGCTATCTCTCACACACCGACTATCTACAATAAGTGGGCGCATATATGTATATCGACAAGAATGATAACAAAGAATAAGTATAGTTGCTTTGAAGGCGAGCTCAGTTTTAACTTTTTTTTAAATCATTGCCCATATGATCGTTTAGGGCCCAGTCCATCAACTGAACATTTTACCTTAAATAACAGTTTGGTTATTGAACATAACAATCATTTGCAACGACATTCATGATTCGGTTTCCAACGAAAGTCTTTGTTATCGTAGGTAGGAAAAAAACCAAAACAAATAAAATAGCATAACTCTACTAAAAGAAAATGATTTTCATAGCAGTTTTTGGATACTTCGATAACTTCTCTGTAATGCTTAGCGTATGTATGTGTGGGAGGGGTATTCCTCTTTCGTTCGAGTAAGTTCATGACATACATTTCCATACGCTATTTTTCGGTAAGGTTGTAGGTAGAATTTTTAACATGGGGAGTGGGGAAGGTGGTATTTGGGCAGTACTCAACATGAAATAAAGGAACGGATAAATTAAATTCAAAGTCGAATAAGTTCCTGAATGATACATCATTTTAAAAAAATCATCTCAGATCAGCTGGACATGAGTTCGAACCCAGAAAGGAGTCTGCATCCATGTTTTTTTTTTTTTTTTTTTTTTTACGTTTTCCTTATTTAAATAAAAATTGATTAAATTTGAGAAAGAGACGATTGTTATTGTAATGTAAATGTAAAAAAATAATGACCCCTTTTATTAAAAGTAGTTTCGATTTTCTATGATATTTCAAACCATGGAGCATTGTGAAATTGTAATGAATTAGTAATTAGTTAGTACCACTCGCCAGTACAAAAGAAGTATACACATGCCATGCTTTTTTACTTCTTGTACTGGTGAATGGTGATGCTATTACTAATTCATTATTATTGATAGCGCAGGTAATTTAATCACACACCAGCAGTCATAATTATTTATTGAAACATGAAATTTTAATTACATCATAAATCGACGATTAGTTACGATAGGCTTAAAAATAATTACTTTTTTTCAGTTGTTTTGCAATCATTAGCACCGAAAATTGGGGATAAAAAGCAATATTGAGTTTCTTTTATTGCTAAAAAAAATAAAAATAAAATAAAAATAAAGGATCAATTCTGAAAATACAGTATTTTGTTTTAGCATTTGACAACGCATCCTCCAAACCAAAGAGTACCACTCCATTGCACTTTAGGGTTTTTTTTTTGCAGTCATCATATTTGTCAATTTATGATAAAATTTAAAAACAATCTTTTTTTTTTATTATTTTATTACCTTGTTCAGATCAGGATAGCTACGCTTATAGGAGAAATTTATAAATTACCAAACCGGTTAAGAAAATGCTTTCTTTATACTGTTTTTTTCCATTTCTTTTTCTTTCTTTTCTTGCTGAAAATATTTCAGGTGTTGTTAGTTAGTTCATTGATCCATATGTGTGTGTGTGTGTTTGTGTGTGTTTTAAATGAAGTTTTTGTTTAGAAGGTGGGTAATGCCAGACATCTTAAAATCATGCTGTAGAAGAAGTTGGTAAAAAAAAAGAAGAAATTTATGAGACAAGACAAAACATTTTAACAAAATTTTTTTATTGGTAGCAGTTGAAGAAAGAAAACTTTTAAATCCAATTTTTGAGTGTAAGGGAGATAATTCTTACTTTTCCTATTACACAAAACAAATTAGCTTTGATTCATTTAACATAAATAGGTACACTGTCGTTAATTTATAAATTGGTCATTTTAACAGTTAGGAGAAATTTAAGTGAGTAAACATGAGGGATTTACAAAAGATTATTTTTTACTTCTAAGCCCTATATTCATTATTTTCTTGATTCTAAAATATGAAAAGGGCTAAGAAAAATCCTGTTGACGACAGTTGGAGTAAAAAAAAAAAAGAATTGCTGGCTTGCACTTTAAGAAAAAATGCCAGCTTCTTGTGAATGAGGTGAATGTTAATGTAGTAAATATATACATAATTACATTTATAAATTTATTTATAATTATATATTATTTATAATCTTTTTTTTAAAATCATTTCACCCCAAGCAAGGCAATAAAATTTAGTGACGCAAGAAGGGGTAACTCACGTAACTGAGTGTGAAAGAACATGAGAAAAAAGAATGAAGTTTTAAAAATAAAATAAAAATATAATTATATTTTACTGAACTTAAACAGCTGGGAGCTGTCTTATTCTAGTTTAAGTTGCAATAAAGATCAACATGATTTTTAAAACCCCGAACGGAACTGCTGGTGAGAAAATTAACCGACAAAAAGTAAAAACTAAACAGAAACTCCTAAACATACTCAGACCGTGATACTGATATAATAACCGTAGTAATCTGTTATGTGATACTTCGAAGCATTATCTTCTTACAGATTAGCGATGTTCAGTTTAATTAATTTATTTATTTACAAGAAGCAAAGAAACTAAGGAATAAATAAACTGCTTTTTAACTTAAATATTCCCTCTAGTAGTCTCATAAAACTTAAAAATTTCAAGTTTTTTTTATGGGATTAAGAGAGGGAATTTCATACACGCCAACAGATTGGGGATAACCGTTAAATGAATGAATGCGTTTTTGAGGGGCTAGTTTTAAATTAAAAAAAGCTTACTTCAACTAAATTTTGGATTAAATTTCTTATTAGACTTAGCACTTAGTAGACCAGATTATTATTATTTTTTTAAAGTATCAAAATTTTGTAGTGATGGATTTTCTTTCAAAAGCAGTTCGATCGGGCAACGTGTAATTAAGGAGACAAATTTTTTACAATTATTTCAAATTATCGCTATATTTTTTTGTAATAAATTAAATAGTAACTGATCAAGTTTCAAAAAGTTACAATTACAAACGTTTTTTTAAATTCAGTTTTGTTTTCGAAGTTACAAATTAAAAATAAAACACTTTTTTTAAAAAAAAAATTTGTCTTTAATTTATACAGTCTTCCATTATTTAAAAAAAAAAGTAAATGGTATAAAATTAAAACAAAAAAAAAATTATCTTATTTGGATTACGTTTAAAGGCCTGCTTAAATTTGCGTACGTTTTTTCAGCATATTGTCCTATGGCAATAAAAACAAAAACAATTGGGAAAAGAAGAGAATGTATCCAAAATAAGATTTTTTTAAATATTTTATTTGGAACGACATAAACACAACAGGAATGAATAATTATCGATTAAATAATATTAATTCATGCATAAAATAAAAATAAATGCTTTTAAGTGAAGTCTCGTGGATGGAGTTGGAGGGTGTCCTGTTACTATAAATAGTAACAACCAGACGGCTAAACTAGCTTTTCAGTTAAAGTGGCAGCATGGCGTCAGATGGGAACAAATCTTGGTGGATACCGCTTGAATCAAATCCAGAGGTATTTTTCGTGTTGATATTGTTATTTCAGCAAATTTTCATGTTTTGCTGATTCTAGATATTAATTTTGTCTTTTTTTTTCTTTTTCTCCTTAGGTTCTTAATAAGGTAAGTCACTAAAGAGTCTAGCTTGCTCCAACCAAGTCAGTCTCTATTTTCTTTGTCTTTGCTTTCTTCCATCGTTCGTGACAACGAAGACGACACTTCTATTTATTTTTTTTTACCTTGCCTCATATCCAATATGCTCTACTTGATGAGGTTTATGATGGCGTTAAAACCCCTTTTATTGTCAGGATGGGAAGCAAATTAATAAAAAATAAATACAAACTCTAAATATTTTTCTAGTTAAAAATAAATGCGTTATTAAGCATAAATATTACAGTGCGACAATCACATGATTACCGCATTGTGAAGATCAAGTGAGAAACGTTATTGATCCAGTCCACCAATTCTATTTTCATAAATTGTTGAAAGACTACTAGTCTCCTCTATTTTATTTATACCAAAACATTTTGCTTGCAAAAATCAACTTAAAGGTCTTGTTGCAATTTTTTTTTGTTTTTAAGCATGAAGCTAACTGCAAAACCATTTATAGTAGTATTTTTATTTTGTTTAGTATCTCCCCACACATTTTAATTTTATCCCTTTTTGTTTGAAACGTAAATTATTGAAAAGAAAATTTGCATTAACAAACCACTTGTTCTGAATTCGAAATTCTATTCTGGAAAATAGAAACGAAAGCAGAAATGGATGATGTTGACCGCGCGTTAACAAAGAAGCAATTCAAAATACTATCCAACAAAAAATATAACCTAAAAAAATAATAAAGAAAGAAAAACGTTATCTAGGGAATTTCCATTTCATTAAAAAATCGTGAGACAATACAATTATGAAAATTATTGCTTTTTTTTTTTTATGGTCAATGACAAAAATTCGACATTCTTTTACTTTCAGTACTAACAGCTGGTTATATAGTCCGTGATTCGTTTATTTTTCACTGCAGTGAATCTCTAATTTCGGTTTCTTTTTGGCATGAACAATGTTTTACGTTAACAATTGATTTCACGTATAAGTGGAACGAAATTTTTTTTTTTTTTTTTTTAGCACTAGAATATATAGATCCTTTTTTAACCACTTTAATTCCCCACCAGGGATGGGAACTCGCCCCCTAAAAATTCATATTTTCTCTTTAAGTGTTTTACTTTTACACTGCTATCTTATTTTTAGACTTGTACGATGAATCGTTTTCTACTTCCTTTTTTATTTTTTATTTTTTTTTGTCTTGTTTATCACATTTAAAATTTTGAAACAACTTTTCCGTAGCCAATTAATTTGTTTGTACAACTAATCTTCTGATTGTAAAATTTCAAATCTTACTTTTCTCTCTTGAATTGATAGGCACCTCGACCTGAAATAACTTTTTTTTTTTTTTTTTTTTTTTTTAACAGGTTATAGGTGGGAAGATCCAATATTTAAATGTAAATAATTATAAATTAACTCCATTTCTATATGCAAAACAATGGTATTCAATTCATGTTTTTCTTAAAACGCAAAACATGACAAAATCGTGAGTGTGTGTGATAGCAATGAAAAGAATTACAAATTTTAAACGTATGACATCATACTGTTTTGTTTTTTGACTTTCG